GTCTTCAGCATTGCAGAGAAAAGCTTGAAATACAAAAATGCTACCTCTCCAAAACCCCCCAAACCTGCAAAAAGTAAGTGTCAAGCTCATTATTTCTCCTGAAAAGTGTGGGGTTTTTAAACGCTGGCACAATACTGACAAGGTCTGCTGACTTCAGGAAGATTGTTCATGCATTTAAAGGGAGGTGCAGTCTAAGGAAGCGCTTTGCTCCGTCTGGGCCTTAGTCCCTCTGAAATGGGGGCGGTGTTTGGAAAGCTCGTCTAGCTAAATCTGAGCTACAGCTGCTATTTCTGCTGTGTCGCCAGCAGAGAATGTCACGTATGTGGCTGACTATCTTGCAGGTTCTCCAGACCTGTAGTTAGTGACACTTCCCCAAAAATTATTTCATCCCCGGGTTTTGCCTACACAGCCTCAATGCAGCTTCTCTGTGAAAACACTGCATTTAAATGCTTCTTTCCAAAAAGAGGAACAGCGGGGCTTAGAAAGCCTGTGCCAAGCTCATCCCTAGGGTGATTTTTCTGAAGTAAAGCAGGGAATATCTGAAACAGGTCCTGACAGAGAATCGGGAAAGGATATCCATTTGGGGGGAGCTAGTATTTTGCTTTTATATTTCTTATAAAGCATTAAATGGATTATTTAAACTAGAAACCTCCTAAGTTGTGTAATTATATATGTCACAGTACCTCAAATGATTTTGCAAGAAGAATGCTCTCTTTCCTTCTGAGTGAATTTTGCAGATCAGGTCTCTTAATACCAGTGCACCTAAAAGCAGAGGTGGGTTTAGGGCATAGACTGCAGTGCCTAAGTATTAAGCGCTTAGTAGTGACTGTTGCTATCAAACGCAAAAGAAGCCCACACTGTCAACTCTGTAACAACTACAAATTTATTGTATTTTCTAAAACAGGAAAAAAAAAATAAGAAAACGGTGTAAAGAGAGATCAGTTGAACTTTGGAAAAGCAGCAAAAGCTGTTGCTAAAGCAAATTCTCAGTTGCTAATCAGGATTAGGAAAAACGCCTGAGTTCTGTTTCATGGTTGTGAGCTATCAGCAGCACCTGTGATTCGTTAGCAAAATAAAAGTTTACTGTTATCTAAGACAAAAGCGTTGGGGGGGGAGACAGTCCTTGAGGCAATAATATCAAATCCCCTTTTGTTTCCTGGATAGTGATTACAGTAAAATACTTTGCTTATGTTTCCATTCCTTAGACCATCTGTTTCAAATTAAACCCTTCTGGCATGATACATCATTATTTATTAGAGCGTTACATTAGATAATCTAGTGTTAGTATTGCTGTTATAAACCCTTAGTTTCATGAGTATGACTTTAGCGGCAGAACTGGATGTGTTTACTTAATGACAGGGCTAGAGACTGCGTTAATAAAACTGGTTTGCCAGTTCAGAAATTACTTCTTTTTTTTTTTTGTCTTTCCTTTCACAAACATATTTTTGGTGTGTCTTTTGATTTGTAGCTCCGAATGTTTGTGCTTGGTAGAGTGAAACCTTCTGGTTTTAAATAAGAGAAAGCTAAGATACTGAGAAGGACTCATTGATAATAAACTGTTAGACACCTAAAGCTGAAAACACAATACCCTTAAAAGGTGGGCTGACATCCATTGCTATAAATCTGCAATGCTCAGTAGTGTTCAAGGCACGCACCCTTGTGATTCGAGAGCAAGTGAAGATCTGGCAGGTAACACCCCCACCCCTGAAGGGGTTCTCTAAAAGTTTTTGTTCTTGCCCTGTGTAGCAACTCTTTTCTCGTGCTTTCTGTCAGAGGCAAGGCTTCATAACTCCAATACACAGAAGACAGACTTTTACCTTAGAGCTATCCTGTCACTGCAGTCTCAGCCATTTTGGGACAATTCAAGAAGTGCAAGGAGATTTTTATTTTTTTTAAATTGTCAGTGTTAATGAGACTTTAGTCACAGTCCACTTAAGAGGCTTACTCCTTAATAAAGGAGTAAGGACAGAGATTCAGTCCCAGGAAAGAAGAGCAGTTCCGTACAGCTGAATTTGAGATACTTCAGTTTACCAGTGACACTGTAAAGAAATTTTCTTCAATCTATTTCAGTTAGAAAGATGGTGACTGTGAGTGTAAAATTAAGAAATGGATTACTCTTTTGTGATGTAAAGACTTTCCATGCTCTAGATATGGTGAAGCCTAGTTTTAAATATGCTTATAGCGAGTGTGTCTGGGAAAGATACAAGTCTCATCCTAAATGAGCTTCTCTCTGATTTTTTTCTGGTCAAAAGAGATCTGAAGGATCCTCTAGTGGGTGATTCACAACACCTAGATTAAATTCAACATCTGAATCACTGCTAACATACGTATATGTAGACTTTCCTTCATGCCAAAATCTCCCTAAATTTTGTGCTGTATTTAACCAACACAGGACTTGCATGGTTGTGCTTACTTTTAAGTGATGTGGTCAGATATGGTCAGAAAGCCAGTATCTGCTTCAAAATATTTTTTTTTTTTAAACTGGTCAAGTTACACAAACCAAAGTTGCTTAATAGCAATACTCTCTCTTGCTCTATTAAAAAAATGTATTAAGTGAGCTTAAGTAGCATCATTTTATAACCCAAAAGCTTAAACTAGTGTATCATTTAAATTTTGCTGGGTCGGAAGCAGGCCAGGATGACATCAATATTTCCTTTAAGAAGGCCAGCAGTGAGTCCACAGTATATGTCTGAATACTTTTGGATCAAATAACATAATGTTTCCTTTTTCCCTCTCTTTCTCTCTCTCTCTGAGAATAAATTTGCAGATTCTTTTTTTTTTTTTTTACATTGGGAAGGTGATAGATGGTGAGTAAATGCGCTTGGGGTCATGGAAAAGGCTTTTCAAAACCCCATTTTCCTCATTTCAAATGTCCTTTTATTACTTTAACTGTTTTGTTTAAAGAAAAATGCCAGAAAGTTCATAAATTTTGCTTGCCAATTGTAGGCTAGAGACCTGCCCTTGCGCTCCCTGTAGCTAATGGTAAAACATCCAAACACTGACTCATCCCTGTAGTGATCCAGGTCCCATACAGAAAACAGAAGTTCTTCCTCACTGTTGCCACAAGGTGTTTCTGCCCGCCGGGGGAAAGCAACTCCGGTTGTCAGGCCACATCTGTACTGACTTTCCTGCCAACCGTACTGGCTTTCTAACTTCTGTTTTGCTTTGTTCTGGTCACAACATAGTTAAGAGACCCGCCAACCTTGAGCACCTTGCTTGAGGGTATCTCCACCTAGCCAATGAAATGGGATAAACCCATTTATCCTGGGAATCCTCCTGGACTATTGCACCTGTGGCATCAGTAGTACAAGTACAAATGGGAAAAACCCATTTATCCTGGGAATCCTCCCTGAGTATTGCACCTGTGGCATCAGTAGTACAAGCGTTTACTGGTTTAGCTAACAGAATAATTCCATTAGTGGGTACCATCAGTAGGTTGTTATCCTCTTAGATGGATTTTCTGCTCAGAGATGAAATACAACACAATAAAACTGGATTAGAATAGTAGCAATATGAATATATATTAAAAAAATAAAGAGCAAGAAGTAACTAGTCATTAATGTAAGGCAGGACTGTGTATTCAGGCTAGTGGTAACTTTCAACAAATTATTTTTAGAGATTTTTTTAACCTAATTGCAAGTTTTACAAAATGGTAAGCATAATCTAATTAAAAATAACATTTTTGGATTTACTGAGTAAAATTAAGATAATCTCAAAAGACTTTTGCACATAAATTGTATAAGTGCGTTAGTACTTAAACCAAGTAAAAATAAACTGCAGAATGTGAGCATACGCACACAAGCTCTCTGGTGGCGAAGTGTTATTGCAGAATGACATCCAAAATGCAGCACTGAGGCAAAAAATCAGTATTATACATTCTAATTTTCTAGCACAATGAGATTTCCCAGATGTGCAGCAGTACGTTTTTGCTGAGGAAACAATTTTGATTATTGCTTATCAACAGTCTCAAACTTTTCTGGTGGTGGGCTTAGTTCAGCCCTGGTGTGAGACGGTGCCTCTGTCGTGCACTTGGCAAACTTGCCTCTGTCTACACCTGGATTTTGACCTCGAGTGTCAGGTATTTGTGCAATTGATGCACCTTTAATAGTACTGAAGGTTCAAATTTCCTTCTTTTGTGAGTTGTTGGAGGTTAAATACAGCAACTGGGATTTGGCTTAGAGGGCAAGCTACAGGGGAAGAGGAAGGATGCAAATGGGACAGTTAATGGAGACTGAGTGTTAGTTATGAGGGATAAAAGAGAAAAGGCATTATGGGGGGAAAAGATTTAGAACTCATTTGCAGGAAGGTGGGAGACTGGAGGCAAAGAACTGAGCTATTTATGAGGAACTACATGTGAAGTTTTGCAAATAAACTTTTTCCTTCTGGGCTCTTGATAAGAAGGAACATACACAGTATAAGTACACACACCTGCCTCTATGATAAGGGCTAACTAAAGAGAAAGAATCAAATTAAAATTTTAAAGCTCTATGAGAAGAAACAGAAAGCTGAGTACCTTAATGCAGAGAATGAAGCAGGCAAGAAGGATAAAGAGGGAGAAAAAAAACCATCTACCCTGCAGCTGATTTTCATCAGAGTCTCTGACTAAGTTGTCTGGCCCCTGGGGACACTGTTGGTCTGTAAAATGTCCGAGAGCCAAAGGACCTGTACTCGGGTCTGTTCCATTTCTCCGTCTGCGCCATGTGTGCGTGAGACAGAGACACAAAGTGGTGGACAGGGGAAAGACACTCAGCTGGGAGAGCTGGAGCATGCTTTGACTTCAGCACAAGGGCCATTTTCTTTGGGGCAGGCGCAATGTCCTTGCGGTTCTGCTGTGAGTCCTGCTGACCCCAGGGGCCCATTGGCCCAGTGGCCGGGCAGGACAGGCGCTGGGCACAGTCCTGCAGGCACTGGGGCTGACTGGAGTCCAGCTGCTGTAGACCCTCCACCCTACTTGGCACGTGAGTGGGACAACACGGCGAGTGCCATTTGCAGTGTGGGGAATGCGGGTACGGAGGCGAAGCTTGAACAGGTGGACGGGGATAAGAATGCGTAATTAAATATGCAAAGGCTGAACAATGGAATCTGTAAAATCTGCCGGCATCCCGAGATCCACGTTCGGTACCATTTGTCACCATCTGCAAACTGCTGAATTTAACAGGTAGCAATCACCGCTGAATGTTGGATGTCAGCTTTGAAAAAAGGGGCTCTGTTCTGCTTCTCTTTCCCCAGGGCTGCAGTCCTGAGGTTATCAAGACAGTACCACTGCTGATCTACAGGTAATTAACGTGCCAGTTTGACCACATCGTTTTTTCCGCACAACGCAATGCTGGTGGAGCTCAACTGAGATCTTGCTTCCAAAAGAAGCCTCCTTGTCGATTACAGAACAGAGCATACCAGGTTGGAAGGGACCTCAAGGACCGTCTGGTCCAACCTCTCTTGCTCAAGCTGGCCCGAACCGGGGCAGGGAGCAGCCGCGTTGGGGCAGGCGAAGGCACAGCGCTGCGAGGAGGGGAGGGGACCGCC